CAGAAAAAATTCTTGATTTATTTTCAAAGATAAATATCTTCTACAATTATTCAATAACAGGAGCTCAGTCTATTAGACTCAACTCTTATATTTAAATAATATACATATCATGATCAAAGTTTGAATTTATCTATTAGTTTGTTGTCCGATAAATTTCATATAAAATAATCTGATGTTAGAACTATTTAACTCATATATTTGCTAAAAGGTGATTTTCTTTTATTTGCTGAAGAAAAATGAAAAGATTTTAAATATTATATAGAATTTAATATATATCAAAGAAAAGAGTAAATTAATTATGTTGAAGTGTTCGAAGTATACTAATCGAAGGGACGACAATAGAGTGTGTGAGGCCGGTGTACTTCTTGCTTTAGAAAAATTTTGTTTTTGAGTCGTTCAGTTGAAATCAATTTTACAAGCTGAATATAATGAGAGTTATTTATGATGATCAACAGTCCCCTTCTTTTGTTATTATTCGTATAATACTGTATTTTTATATCTAAGTGACGATGAAAAATAAATTAAGAAATTAACATGGTCAGTAACGCCTCACCCACATAGGTAGTCTTTTCAATAGCAGTGTGCGAACGCGTGTATTCGACTATACATATGTGTATGCATAGATATTGAAAAAAGAAACACTCTCTTGTACATTGTCGACTATCATAAATGCAATCATTTTTTCGATTCTCTACTTTGTATAGGTATGTGCACAACTAAAATATATATGACACGTTGAAACACAGCGTGTAGCAAAGAAAAAGCTCGAATCAGATAAGATTGACTGTATAAAATTATTGTCTTCATTTATGAGTGTTGTAAGTAAAAAATAAGAAAGCAAGAATAAAACTGATTCGTACAATGTATATACGCATTAATCTTTTCCTTCTTCGCATTCTAACTGGTCTACAGTAGAAGTAAATGTTTTTTCGAAATAAATGGTATATCCACTGATCACGCTTGAATAATTAGAAAAAAACCTAGTCTTTTTTCTTTTGCTTTACGAAGTCGTGTATATAAACACAGCATATTTATACAAAAACAATACTACATCACAGTATCAACGATTGCTCTAGGTATCACTAGTAACCATGCGCACAAACATTCTCATTATCATTGCCCTTGTTCTCATCTCTATCAGCATGGTCTTCGCACGACCAGGATCAGCACCACAACGTCGAGAAATACCAATGTTTGATCTTCGAGAAATACCGATGTTCGATCTTCGAGATCAGCCAATGTTCAGTCTTCGAGAAGTTGCTAATATGCTCCTAAAGACTCGCCAAACAGAGGATCTATCCGATTTATATGAACTCGGATATCGAAATAAATAAATCGGTATGTGTTCTTCCATATCAACTGCAACAACGTCGTCTAACATACAGTTGTCGAAAAAAAAACATTATCAGTTTTTACATTTTTCGCTTTTGTTCTTATTTGCCGTTCTTTTCCTTTTTACTTTTTGTATAGTTCAATAAACATTAGAAAAAACTATTGATATATTTTTTTTTTATTTAATTTCATAAAATCGATGTAAAAAAGAAAAGTAGTCATATAATTCGAAAATAATTACTCAACTACTTCTTAAACTTATATGATATTTTTTTTGATATTTGTAGGATTTTTAAAGTCTACCATATGTAAGATCTATAGACAATTGAATCAAATTGTTGTTATCTTATTATTCATAGATTATTGTTAGTGATTATTCATGATTGTAATGTAAAAGTAAGATGATATTGTATATGTAGACTAACGAGAGAATTGATTAATTATTTTTGAGTTCAGACTCTGTACATAAGGTAGACCCCAGTGAAGTATAATAAATCCCAAAAGAATATGTGCCCATAGCCTTTTTATACAGAGCTATAGACATTTTATTGTGAATCTTCTTGGTGAAATATTTATTGGAGAATTTCTTATTTTCATTGCGCTATTTAGGTATAAAAATGAATGTTGTTCGTTTTTTCATAGTCACATCATAATTGTTTTCTGTGTTATTCTTTATCATTAATATTTGTTATATTTTATAGATTATCATCAATAAAATCATTTTTATCATCATCATCTTCCATTTATTTACATTTTCAAGATACGGTAGGCTTTTTTCATTGTGAATTTCTCAAAAATTAACAGGCTAAAATTATGGATTTAATATTTTTTTTCAGTCTACGTCAATTACACAGGTTGAAACCATTGGTTACATCCACAAGAGAAAATCCTCACAAATCATTTCAGACCGCTTAAGACATCGTTTCCGATGGTCGGAATAATCGTCCTGGGCTGTCGATATTAATGTTGATATTCTGGAAGACTTTAAATTAAGTACAACACCCATCGGCACCGACGCCTTGAGCTCGTGCATGTCGTTTGTATTGCATTTTTGGTATGAACAAAATCCAGTCTGTTTTTTAATGCACTATTCCGATTGGATCTCAAACATTAATCGACCACCATTAGTATTACTTGAAGAACTTTTACAAAATCTTGCTATTAATTTGACACACCAGATGGGTATTGACTCACTTAGCTCAACATCTCATACATGTTTAATATCTAATTGCCAACTGATCATTGCCGGTAATGATTTAGACTATGCAGTACCAATTCAGGCCGCATTTTCATTTCTTAATTCACCTACATTTGAATTTAGCAAAATGTCTAATGATTACAAAGGTGATGTTTATATGCTTACGAATCAACTAGTAAATAATGTAATCATTTTAAAATCAGTGATTCGAGGATCATATGGTGAGTAAAATTGAATAGAAGGTCTTTTCGATTCTACGAATATTTATATATATTATAGTCAAATCAGCACGTAAAGACAAAGATATTGTAGCCGAATTCTTTCGTTACTCTTGCCTGAATAAAAATATGGTAACTGGCGTCACATTACTCTGTGGTGGATATTGTGCTGATTTAGCTATACTACAGATGAATATAGACAAAATGAAATAAAACGGCATCTTCAAACAAAACTAATTGAATAATCTCCTTCATGCCTTTCTATGATATGAAGGAGACTCAATTCCTGTAGTTTTCCTCATTCTTTTCTATTTCATTAACTTGTTATTTTTTTTCTGTATTAGCTCTTCGATGTTTCCGTTTGTTTTTCTTTTGTTCTCTTGCTTATTTCTGTTATTTTCCCGCGTTATTGTTATTGTTAGTTAGTTTTTTTTCTTTTTATCTTATGTACTGTTAGGACCTGATGGTCACCAGTTATTGCGAAAATAAAATGAAAAATGAAAAAGATGTTATGAAAATAAAAAAGCATTAATTTAACGATTAGAAGAATCGTTGTTACTTATTCCACAAGATGTTTTTATTACTTGGTAAGCTATTATTTGTTCTTCTCTCTTCTAATATAGTTAAAACTCTTTATTTTGTTAGGTGGTGTCATCATCTTTTGTTTCATCGCGTCATATATATATATCTTCTTTGGTTCTGAGATTACTCAGGACGATGGTTCCTGAAGCAAGATTCCATGAAATTCTAGCAAAATCTCTGAGGAAACTCGCCATTTCTGGGCGCAAGCCACCGTTCCCGTGGCGCATTGTTCGACCTGGGTTATAGTGAGTAAAACTGAATAGAAGGTCTTTTCGATTTTACAAATATTTATATTTATTGTAGCTAGCTCAACAAGTCGTGATAGTGACATTCTTGGTGGTTTCCTATATTATTCTTGCTTGGACATGAATATGGTGGTTGGTTTAGAAGTTCTTCATGGAGGGATTTGTGAAAATGTTGCTATGTTACAAATGAATGTAGTTGAAACAAAAATCAAAGCAATTAAATGGCACATTCAAACTAAATTGATCGAAAAATTGAAAAGTCGTTTTGCAAATGATAATAAATTTATTCAACGACTAGAAGCATCATTATTACTTATTCCACAACATGTTTTTGTTACTTGGTAAGTTATATTTATTCTTCTCTTTTCTAATATAATTCAAATTTTTATTTCTTTTATAGTCCATATCACTCATTAAATGTTAAAGTTGGTATTAATGGATTTGATCATATTGATCAACTTATATTTCGATGTGCAGTTGAATAAGCTATACAAGTAGTTGCTATTAATGATTAGTATTATAATTTCTTTATTCATGTTTTATGATTAATAAAATATTCAGTGCTGCCACATATTCTGCTTTTTAGACTTTTTTGTCTTTTATATCTTCAATAATCATTTAACACAAAGTTATGTAGATTGTAAGATCCGATCAACTCTGGATGTTATCACTTTCTCTTACTCTATCGTCAAAATTTAAAAAACTCTTATGTTGAATCTGTATTTTTACAAATGAGACATTTATTAAATGACAAGCGGAACTGTATGGCAATAGAATTAGTGTCGACTAAATTAAAAATACATTTAAAAATAATGTTCAGTAAATGTATTTATCTATGTTAAATTTTTTTTTTGCGCACTAAAATATAAAATATAATACAAAACTTTCTTATTATTTTATTACGGCTGGGCTTAAATTATACTTGGATATTAAAAAACACTTTCTGCTTTTCAAAGGGTAAAACGTGGCAGCACTGCTCTTTACTATTGCAGAATTTGTGCATGAGGATCTTCAACAATCTTGATTACTTCTTTTATTTGATATTCGTCAATAATGGATGGTACACAACTTATGAATATATAAGTGAGACAAAATATCTCGTGTATACAATGATATCTATTATTTATTATTGAACTTCGCTTTGTTCCGCAGCTATTCTGTTATTGTTTTCATTATCATCGTTAAATGATCGATTGCGAGTTTCAGGAAGAAGAGTAACGATGCCGATCATGATAAAAGTTATTCTCGAATAAATATAAAATGTTAGTTTTATATATTTGTCACCAAGTGCAGCATCAACAATAGGCGCTAAAATGGCACCAAGACGACCAGTAAATACAAAAATAGAATTGCTTAAGCCACGAATTGATGTTGGAAAAAGTTCTGGAACATAAACCCATGAAGCTGATACTGCTCCACTGATTGTTAATTTACCCATTTGTGAAATGACAATAGTCACGATTGGATAGTTTTCTTTAATAAATGGAATGGTCAGTACGTACAATGATGTAAACAATGCAAAAACCATCAGTGTATATTTTCTTCCCAATCGTGTCGTAATAAGAAAACTAGCAGATATATAACCGATACCTTCAACAATAGCTCCAATCACTATACTCCAATGAGGACTTAAATTTTTATTCATCGCACCGAGTCCGTACGATATTTTTATATATAGAAGCATCGTAACAAACGCGATTAGACCACTAATACATAATCTGATCAATATGCGTCTGATGTTTTTTTTCTTTGGTTTTATTGTAGTTTTCATCTGTATAGAAGAATCTTGTATTAATTGTCTATAAAGTTGAAACCATTCTGTATTTTCGCGTTTATTGATTTTGGCAATATTTCTAAGACAAACTTCAAGTTGTGCATATTTTTTCTTGTTAAACAACCAATAGGGTGATTCTGGCACGAAATATAGATAAAAAAGCATGAGACCAATATAGCCACTATTAAACCATTTATGATTTAGCCAGTTACGAGCACCGTAAGCAAAGAGAGCGGCTACAATTTCACCGAAAGTATAAGCAATCAAAGCAAGATTGCCAGCAAAACTCGTATGAGACGATGATGTTAGTTCCATAAGAAGAAGAAAAACCAGACCATAAGCACTTATACTAGACACGAATTGATTGATAAGTAAGAGAGCAAATCTAAACGAAAAGAAATCATTTTTCTTCTAATAACTTTTTCATATTTACTTGACATTGATAGTCATATGAATGAATTGGATGAATACTAGAATAGTAGCTGGAATGATGAAAAGTGTAGTAGTCAACAACTGAATCATTTTTCTTCGTCCAATTTTGTCACTCAATGGACCATTAATTAATGTAGAACATCTATATGAAAACATTGAACATGATCATTTATCATAGATACAACAGATTTCTTACGCGCCAATCTGAAATACTGTTGCGAGCCATGTTCTCTTAACTGCATTAGTACAAACAAAATTAGCATCTTCTGTAAATGTTCGCCCAAAAACACTTCGATCATAAACAAAGTCGGTACATTTCGATCCATTAATAGTATCACATTTGGATGTTGATGATATCCACGTCTCGATTAGAAGCTGATGAGTATTATTAATAAATTGATATTTATCTTCATCCGGCCAAATATTTAACGGTAGTCGACAACGAAATGTTGGTTCGGCAACTCCAAAAATATAATAATATGCATGCATACCACCGCCCATACATATCAAACTTAAAAATATGTAATGAATCAACTGATATCGACCGAAATCACCACACTGTCGAATAACATTTTCCAGTGAAATATCGTCATTCATGTGCACTATACTGTTCTTTTATTCCCTTTGCGACGTGAAATTTATCATTCACTTATTTATAAATATGAATTACGCACATGGGTTTTGTTAAATAACATATTCTTTACACACCTAGTATATCATTGGCTACTATTTATTTAGGCAATTTAAAAATCGAAGTGGGCAGTAATTAAAAATACGAAGTAGCAATAATTCGTGGGCGATTAAAAATTATTTTTCGACAATTTTATATTGTGAAATGGGCAATAATTAGTTAATCAAATTGCAGTAATAAATATATCTTTGAGCAAGAAACACATTAAATATGAGCAACAATAAATTTAATTATTGTTGAATTATTATATCTATTGGTCAATCAACATAATTATTGCCAGTTATTTTAATTACTGCCCAGTCAATATATTTATTGCCAAGTGTAATTTTTTATCGCTAAACTTGATTATTGCTCATCTATATTATTTTTCTTGCCCACTCGTATTATTTATTGCCCGATTAAATTGTACTCTATATCATTTACTTAATTTAATATTCATTCTTTGACATTATTTTATAATCTCGATAACTAAGCTAATCCTTTTGTTTTACATTTCAACGTGAAGAACTATACAAATTTACAAAAACGAAGAGACAGCTTATTTTCAGATCATAGTGACAGTCAACATGATATCCAGGAGCGTGAGGTTTAGAATGAAGAGTTTATGAAACTTATCTTTGAAATAATCAAAAGATATTTTGATCTGTCTAAATAAATATATTTATTCTTTGATGTTTGCAAAATTTTCTTCTATATCTTTTTTCCAAGCATGAATAAATTGATCTTTCATGTCTTTCTCAATTCTAAAAGCAACTTCTGCTCCATTTCGATCTCGCGGTAACCATTGAGTTCCATCTTTAACAGGATTTAAACGAAATACACGTAAATACAATGGTCCTGTCCATACTGTAAAAACACGACATTGATCTTTATAACCAAAATCAACAAGTTGAACCCAATCGTATCTATAATTGGAATTAACTAATATTTCATTTGGAAATTGATTCCAATTAGCTAATAGATTATCATGTGCAATTTTTTTCAATAATTTATCAGCAGTAGCTAACCAAGGTATCAAAAATTTTGGATCACGTGATTTAATAATTGAACAACGAATTGTCTTAGCAATACTACTTAGAGAATATGGATCATCATAATCATCAGATAACATTTGTATAATAGCATTAGAAACAAGTCCAACTGGAGCAATTGAATCAGAAACACCACGACAATTAATAGTTGTATTTGTTCGTAAAATTTGACGATCATTATTATTTAAATAACAATGAGTATTCAATGTAAGAATAATATAGGCAGAAAGTGAATCTTGTGTTGATACATTATCTCCGCCAGCTACTTCACGGAGTTTTGCTAATTGTTCACCTGAAAAACGAATATGAACATATTCATGTGTATCTTTCCAACTACTAAAAAGTTGAAACATATCTTGTAATGGCCCCGCATCTGTTAAATGTTTCATTAGAGGTAAATAAGATGAATTTACTTCTTCTTCTAACCATAAACGTCGTTCGAATATAGGTAATGGTTGAAGTGGCTCCAAATTTTGATAAATACGTGAAATTGTATTTAAAAAGTTCAATAAAGCAGCAGCATCACCTAATATATGTGCCCAACTTACTCCCAATATCCATTCATTACTATGAATAAGACGAGTTAATTTTAAACGAACAAGAGGTTCATCTTTAGAACCATGAATTAATTTTAGTATATCTACTCCATCAATAAATGGTTCAAGTGGATTCTGTTCCACTTCTGAAACAATATTGATATTGGCAGGCCACATAGTTAATTCACAATTTTCTATATAAGTTATTGGAATTGAATTATCAGACATTTCAATAAAGTAATGATCATTGTCAACTAACAGAAAACAACCAGCAACAATAGGCCATATCGAAAGAGTACGACTAAGAGCATCCTTAAGTCGATCAATATCTAATTGAGATGGATAAACAAATACTTTGTCCGTACGTGCAATAATCCATAGATCAATACCAGGAAGTTCAATTCGACGATTTTTACCCGTGGGTAATAATGGAGAAACAAACCAAGACGTCATCTTCAAATAGAAATATTATTATTATTACAAAAACAATATTTACTTTAATATCTAAGTCAAAGATAAATGATAAGAACAAGAAAAAATTCTTAATATTCTATGGTTAAAGTTATAAAACAATGAAAAATGGAATTATTCCATAGCACTATTTTAAAAAAATGAATCTACTTTTATAAAAGAGTTGCTTTTTTAGCTCAGAACAAAATGAATCTTTTCGTATGCGAGACGATACTAGTTGTGTGCACCACAACTGAATAAAACAACAATGCTAAAGATGGCGCTTATTAACATGACATCATTTTTTTCTATCGAATTAATTTGAATACTTTCGTTTGCTATTTATGAAACAGAATACTAAATAAAAACTCCGTGTGAAATGTTTTTTAACATCTCATGTTACATTTATCAGTTTATTAATAGATTTTGCCTATATGACCAAGAAAACTTTGAAATATTTTATCATATCGTCTTTCAAACATTGTTGACGCAGGCAATTTGCTCATTTTCACTCATATTGGCGTACTTTGATCTCTATAAGATTAGACTGAGTTAAAAAAAAACTATGCTAATTTATTGTTAATTGATCAATTCTTACTGAAGAAGAATGAAAAACTCCAAATTAATAATCATATAATTTCTCAGAAGGCATTGTGTGGATAAATATTCCATCTGAATTTGCCAAGAGATAGTTAAATCTGCTTTCTGATTTGTTAAATTTTTTTTTTATCAGTCAATGTACGTATTATACCTTGGATTTTTCGATCTGATAGTCATGTGTCATGAGTTTTTTTTCTTTCTTTCTTTTTCTTTACGTGAATAATATAAGACACGTATAAAAATTGTTCTGCGCTTTATTCTTATGCATAATATCTTACGCAATTACACTGTTCTGCAATTGATGATGAATTCTTCATGGAATCTTTTTTGTATGATGCAATGCTAAGAGGAAAAAATACATTGATGTTTCATTTACTGTCACTATATATAAAATAAAATAAAGAGCATCTGAAAAGAGGGCAAGAATATTTCATTATTTCACCATTTAATCCTGACTTATTTCGAGTATTCAGTAAATAATCCTATAAAAAATTAACGAGCGTCTTCAATAGTTCTTTTTTTTCGATTTGCTATCTGAATATATCGTACATAGTTAATGAAATTAAAAATTAGAAAGTAAAGAATTGTTTTGCTTTATTAATACTCTATTATGCGATAAAGTTGTTTTTTCTTCTGATTTTACGATCATTGCTATGATTTAAGAGTGATATACACGTTTTTTTTATAATAAAAAATTCAACCGATGGATGTCGGTTTTTCTTAAGAACGTAAAAAACGAGAAGATTCTTTCTGTTATTCATGCGATACATTCTCTATCTGTTCTTTTATTTTATTCGTATCGTTGAATAAACAACTCACAGATATACTTATTTTATATATTGTAGAAAATTAATCAAGTGGTATGCTACGACAACAAAACGATGGTGGTGAATCTCAATCTGTTTCTACACAGAATGAATTACGCGAATTCTTCAAAGGACCCAAATATGGACTCATTTTCAAAGTTCCACTTTTATTTATTGGGGCTATTATTTACATGGCATATTACATTACCAAGACTATATTTGTTAAATTAATCACAGCTATTTATTCTGTAATATTATCTTTACCAGGTCTATTTGAGAATGTTTATTTTTATCTTCCATTACTCTATAATAGAGCTTCAATATGGTCTCGATATTTTATTACAAAGCTTTATAAAAATCTAATTAAATTAGTTAAAATCTTAATAAATAATTCCATTTTTCCAACCATTTATAATGGAACTCAACAGATTGTACAGAATATTATCTGGCTATGTGCTGAATATTATCGATTGTTTGTTCGTCCAATGGTGCAATTGTGTTACACATTTATCTGTCGATGGGTGTGGTCAAATATTGTACATCCAGTATGCTTATGGATATATTCTGATATAATTTTACGGTTTTATCGAATAATCATTGGGCTGCCCTCGTTCATTTATATTGAATTTTTGTCGAGAACTTATAGATTTGTAAGACGAATATCGCAAATAGTTCGGCATTGGTTGAGTCGCGTCATTCTCTATATCAATATGGGTTTAGTAAAAACTATTTATTTCATTTGCGATTTCAGTATCATAATCTATAGACATATATTATTACCTTTGTACCAACCGTTTATTAGATTAATTTTATACGTTAACAATAAAATTTTAAAACCTGTAGTCCAATGGATAACTCCAATAGTGAAAATTATTTTCCACGCGATTATCTATTCGTCTCACTTCTTTATATCTGTTTGTCAAACTCTTCTACAAATTTGTACGTTGATTTATACTGAAGTTCCAACGTTAATATATAAATTTGTAAGTCAAACCGTAGAAATCATTTTGTATTGCTTAAATCGCTTAATTATCTATATTGATCGAAATTTGATGAGGACAATTCACTTCATTTACAATGGATCTCAATGGATATGGCAAAAATTGAAAATAATTTCTTATAAATTGATGAAAATTGTTTCCTACATTCTCATTTATTTGTCATACGCAGCTATTAATTCTTATAATATCTTTATATTAATCTGTAGGCAATATCTGTTGTCTTACTATCATATTCTTACACGGATTTATTCATTCATTCATTATCAAGTCTTACCAACGATAGGTAGATTTTCAATGCGAATCTTACGAATGATTTGGTGTTGGTTAAAGCGTTTTATTCTATATGTCAAATTTGGCTTGCTCTATATAATTCGTTTTATTTACAATATTTGCAAAATAGTCTATGAAGATGTACTATTATCGTTTTTCCGTTCAGTCATTATATTTTCTTCGTTTGTTAACAATGAAATATTAAAACCTATAGGTCAATTGATAATTTCCACGGTGAATATCATTTCTTATTACTTAATGAATATAATTAAAAATGCAATTATATTTGTTCCACATACAATTATATATTGTTACAATGCTATTGTATTTATCTATGACGAAACTTTAAGATTAATCAATAGACTAATGATATTCATGCGACCATTAATTTGCTTTAGATACCACGAACTTGTTTTTTATCCTGTAATCTGTTCTCTCTATGAAATCAATACAATTTGCTACGATTTCAGCTTAAAGCTACTTGGTAATGTATTGTCTACAATGTCATCAGCAATTATTAATATTTCTAATACAATTAAAATTATAATGTACAATGGAATAAATGACATTCACCAAGCAATCTTAGCATTATATAAAGTTATTATAAGATTGTTTTATTAGTTCGTTGAATTCTGAAGTTTTTGTGTTATCGAAATAGAAATAAAGAAAATAAAATTGTTTCCTAACTATTTATATATGCTACACAATCATCCTTGTGTAGATCATAACATGCCCATCAGAGTGAAATGAACGAAGACGAGGGTGTAAGTGACGTCGGTGAGTATAGTTTATGACTATAATAACCACATTCACCCACATCCTCATGATCAACGGGGAAAAAGTGTTGTTACACTTTTTTTCCAGGAAAAAAACAGTCCATCATCATAATGATTTAGTCTACCTTCGGTGAGAAATTCATCGTCGGCAAAAGTAGAATTTACTTTCAAGTAGAGGGCATGGTAAATTCCGATTTCCCGGAAATTCAAATAAAATAGAAACAAAATAAATTCCCTGGAAATTTATTTCACTTACTATTAATTACTTGGTGTAGTCTGCGTTTATATATACAGATACAAAGTATAACTTTCGAGTATCGATTGAGTTAGCTGGGTTGCGTTAAGTTGGGTTGGGTTAGCTGAAGATATCATGGAAATTCATTTTGATATGGAGATAATGCAGCTATTGCTTATTTGTATGCGTCTGATCTTGGTCTTTAATATCAATTATTGTCGTTGCTCTTCTCCTCAGTACACTTGCTTTGTTTGATATTTTATTTAAGAACTCTGACATTGATCTGGACATATCTTCTCAGAATATTACTTTTTCTATGAGCTAGATAAATGTTTCTCGATAATGCCATCAAGAGATTATTCAATAAAAAACTATTAACTTTTATTCTCCTATTTGAAATAAATAAGTTTAATTATTGTTATCACTGTTGCATAGTGGTATCGTAGTTGGTATCAGAATATCCGCACCCACACTATTAAGATGCATAAACATCTAAAAACATACATTCATGTCTTTATCTCTGTGTGATTAACAGATGAGCGAATCGTACTTTTTCTTGAGGGTAGTGTGGGTCTCTTTGCTCTATCTTTCGTTCACATCCACCTACCCACCCCTCACTCACACCGACACCCACACCCTGACCTTGGATAAGTGTTCGTGGGTCAAGAGAAGATATATATATATATACATTCACAGCTACGCCCACATATTCAGATAAGACTTTTTCACGTATCTTATCACATTATAATAATAAATATCTGATTGCCATCATCAGAACAAACCTTTCATATTTTTCATATGGATGCTGCTCGAACGAAAAAGAAGTCATTCAACTGAGGACCATTTTTTTTCGTTCTTTCAAAAAATGTGAATCGCTCCGTTTGAAAGCGAAGAGGCGAAGAAAAAGGACTGTTATTCTCGACACAAAACAGTCAGTTACTTTTATTTTTTGTTTAGACAAAAAACGTCCATGCACACAGAGAACAGAAAAGGTAGGCGTTTGAGGCATGCAATATGTTAAATCTTTTATTGCTAAAATAATTTTTTAACGATACACAGTGGGTGTGAGTGGAAGTATGGATATGGGCATCGATGAACCTCTTCTATATCTATGCAATCACACCCCTTCGGTCGATCGTTAGACATTTTCCTAGTCTAGTTTGACTATAGAAAAGGTGACTAAACTATACATCGAGTGATTCTGTCTAAAGTGTCGATTATTAGACGAGTGCTTCTAGACTATAAATTTTGAAATATACAATGCTATGCACTTGCTTTTGTTATAGATATTGTGTTTTTGATTTTACAGTCATTGCAGCTATTGAGAAATCGTCAATAACAACCACCTAGATGTTTTTTGATTGGTTAAAAACTAAAACATTTCTTTTATTTCTCTTTCTTATTTTAGATTTACGATGTTTTTTTGGATTATTTTTCTCGTAAAAATTCAATATTTAATAAAGATTTTTTAGCGAAGGAAAAAAATAAAAAAATCCATTCATTTGTTTTTTCGTCTTTTTTTTATTGTAAATGTGTCATATTATTGTTTTTCTCTGGAAGTAGAAATTCGCGATTTTATTTGCTAGTGCAGGTATGGTTGACGATGTGGATGTGGATGTCTGTGAGCGTGAAGATGTGGTTATTATCTTTAAATCATACTCACATTCACACCCGTCCTCATCCTACCATGTTTGAATGGGTCTTTGTGGGAGTATTCCGTTCATCATCTGCTTCTACATCTCATATAACTAATACTTGAAACTTAAATTTTACTATTGAAGGATTCAAACATTGAGTTTATAATTATTCCACGAGTTCAATATTGAATTATTGTGTTATTGTAGAATAAAGACATTGGTTTATTTAACATCTCAACTATTGAATACTATAATTCAATTTTGAAGTTTAATAATATTGGCCATTTTGAGATCAACATTCACTTTCTCGGAGAAGAGTAAACTCTCACTAATTTTATTTTTTCAAATACACATTAGTCAACCTGATGGCATCACCAATAACAACGGATACAAAGGAGATTCGTCCTATCGATCCTGATTCTACTTCGCTTCTCTATGTCAATCTTCAGGATAATCTTGAACCATTCACCGTCGTTTGGGCTGACACCCAAATTAATAAATCAGAAGACTGTTTAAAGACTCAAGACAATCTGCAACGTATTATCAATTGCCTCAAATTATTTGATGATGCTCAGAAATGTATTTTATTTGTCGAAAATACATCGAATGATGATATCATTTTTCTAATCGTTTCTGGAGAACTTGGTAACACTATCCTTGCTTCTCTTCATGCGCTGCCACAAGTTGCATACGTTTATGCTTTCTGTTTTGAGTCTGCAATTCACGAGCAATGGACAAAACACTATGAAAAAATCCGCGGCGTTTTTACTGATAAAAATCTTTTATTCGAACAAATTAAAATGGATGTCAAAGCTCAGTGTTCTCGATGGTCTTTCACAACTGAACACACGTTCACTAACCCATCAAAATCAACTTTTAGTCGGGTTCCAAAGTAAGTACTATATAATGTGCTAATTAAAATTTCATTATTGAAATTTCTATCAATAATAGCCACTAAATTAGTGTAACGGTGGCATAATAAAATCATGTAACAACGTAATAAAAAAAGCTGTTATTAAAGATTTCGTATTTGAAATATGTATCTTAGTTTTAAATATAATTACATCTCTATATTATTTATTATCATATTACTATAATTTGCTTTGCAGTTTAGATAGTGTCATTTGTCCTACATATCGATGGTATAATGTACTATTAGATATTATTGTTAATATGTCACATTCAGAAGATGCACTACAAGAGATGATCGACGAATGTCGAGCTTATTACAGAAACAATCCGACCAAATTACAAAATATTGATTTTTTTGCAGATTCATATGAACCATGCATGGCTATTTGTTGCTACACACTACCAAATTTTCTTTTTGATATTATTAATAAAGCCCTACGAACTCAAAATTTAGTGATTATCTTCAAGTTTCGCGCATTTATCGCGGATTTATATATTCAATTACAAGAGCACTATAGACGCTACCTGTTAGAGGATGTGATATTTAATACTACAGATGATAATAGAATTTCCATGGTTTTTCGTGGTCAGTATCTAACATTTCAAGAATTAGAACATTTAAAAAATAATATTAAATCAATTATGATAACCAATACTTTCTGTTCGGCTACATTGAATGAAAAAGTAGCCCATTTTTTTATCAGTGATGGTCAAAAACCACCACCAGGACAAATGGCGGTTATATTTCAAATCATTATTGATGATTTATATTACGATTATATTCCCTTAAACTTACACAATATTCGACCATTCGCATATATTGCGAGTCAAAGCCAGATCAAGGATGAAAAAGAAGTATTGTTTGCTTTTGGTAGTGCATTTCAAATCAAAGAAGTCATATCACCGAATGAGGAAAAGCGTTGGTGGACTGTTATCTTATCCCTTGAGTCGTTTTATGCGGCACGCTGCTCGCCTGATATGCGAGAAATTTTTCGGTTTCGACCTAGTTTTACTCCTCTTATTGAAGAATTCGCCAAATTTTGTCATTATGTTACAGAGAATCGAGAAATGCTCTTATCTGCAGAGTGGTATGGTTTTACAAGACCACACATAGAATCATTGTTAAAAAGCGGTTATAATGCAATGACAGAATCCTTCCTCCACAATGAGAAATATGCAAAAGGTATTGATGCCATGCAACGCTTGCTAATGCTACAGACTCGTTTAAGTTCATCGACTGATATTAGTCTTGTGTCTACATATTGCAAATTAGTAGTAATCTACGAAAAAAACAATCAATACAATGAAAGTATTCATACTTTTAAAGACAAAGTGTTACCTTTACTTATGTCAAGAGATCCGGATGGTAAAGATTACATGAATGCTGCCTCTAAAGAGTGTTTACCAAATGGTATAAGTTTCCAAGACGTGTGTACGAGTCTATCAAATGCATATGAAAGTATCGGAACGTCTTCCATGGCACTACTCTGGAGAAAGCTGCGAAAACATATGAAGCCACTAGCAGGAACACTAGCTGATCAACAACGTCGTTCTCTCGTGTCATATCGTATCGAGACTTCTGAGCAGATGACAGACAATGATAAACTCGAACTATACGAAAAATATCTTCATAATACTCTGAATTCTTACAAAAGTTCTGATCATCCGATGAAGAATTCCATTGACAAAGATGACGCCGAAATCTTCACTGATCTAGTATGGTCAATATGTGGCCTGAAAGGCTGCCTCCGTTTGTACTGCTATGATATACCGGTACTTGAATATGCTTCGAACTCTGCTGATATTGTATCTTTATCAATACATAATACTACTACACTTATTATTGGTAATATACCAAGTCCTATCATTCAACAGACGATAATGCCAAGTGCACCCTTGCCATTTCATTCATATTACCATCGTTTCTTTGCCGATGATATTGTTCATACATCGAATGCGTTTGAATATGCTACGCGACTTATTCATTTTTCGAATGACATCTTAATTAAATTAGACTTTCAATCTAAAATTGAGCCGAATTTAGGCTCTGATCCATTAATTCATCAACATGTTTTATTTCTCCGTTATTTTATTCATATTCAGTGCGATGATACCAAAGAATTTTTAATGGATAAACAACAATCGAATCATTTGGAAGCTTTGAACAGACGCATATTGACTGACTTTCATCTTTTAAATCATGAAACTTTCGTGCCATCATTAGCTGGTTTAGCATTTGTTGGTTCATCCATCAATGATACAGCTACAGAAAATGAAAATGGTTCGCCTGTCGAAAATGTGGCTAGTCTTCTTTTCAAACTACAATGGCATATTGGATTGATCGTTGCGTATTTTTACGCGTGTAATACGGAAGAAAAGAATGATATTCAAATAAAACTATTGAACATCGAACGTCGACTGCTACGTTTTTGGATATATAATATCGAGAAAAAAATCATACAGACCTCAAATATCTATGATAAAATTTTAAAGAACAGATTCACAGATCAACTCGAGATTGGTAGCTATCTAAATCATCGACCATCGACTCACGATTTTCAATTTAAAGCGAAAGACACAATTCAATGTCCGGGACTTCCTTCAATTTTCAAGGATATACTTAAAACATTATATGAATTACAAGAAGATGATCGATTGCTTCATAACTTATTTGACAAATGGAAACAGAAAGAATCAGTTGACCATGATAGTAGTCTACAGTTTGAAGAAGAAACTCGCAAAAATCTATCGACCATTGTGTCGCTACAATCGTTGATAAAGTATCTAATAGATTATAGAATAAAAGTTATCAATACTGATCAGAACGATGAATTTGATCGCTTTATTACATGGTATCATGCATGCCCTCCTCTCGAACACATGTACAACACCATTCAAACAACTGAAATTATGTACCATAAAGCTAGAGATTACGTCGAGAAAACTTTTCTTTCTTATAAACAACAAATAAATTAATTTTGACATATATGTAGTAAATGAAACTTGAATCCAAGTATACAGTTATTTAATTAACAGATAGTGGAACCTTCACATACTCAAATATTCAGAAAGCTCATAAGTAACTACAGAAAAAGTGAGCGACGGCAAAACTCCTGAAAACCTGAATATTTGAGTAGTTAAATACCGGGTGGTCCAGATTAAACTACCAGTTTTTGTGAACGGATGGGTATTGGTATGACTACGAATGAAGAAGAGGCACCCACACTCAATTTAGATTCATGTCTCACGTCAACAGGTCAGCCACACCCTTTATCTTTTTATTATCTTGCATAGAAGTAAGAAGCAAATAGTGCATCTAATATATTCAAGTGAACATCTCTAAGAAAAATCATGCTATCGAATGTCAACATAAAGTATAATTAAATGTTATTTGCATTGGTTATTATTTCATTGATTATATAGATAATCTTAATAAAGAAGATTATTCGCCCAATTAGTATGATTCAAGCAAATATCTTGAGGGTGTGGCTGTAGATCAATCAGAGAGGGAAAAAAATTCATTCTATATCCCATTACGAAAGCATCAAAGCACAGGATATTTTCTCTTTTATTCTTCTGATGATACACACACATTACGTAATACTGATATAAGAACTTAATGTGAATGTGTAATGCTCACATCAATGACAAATGACAATTCAATTCATAGGCTTAGTGATTAGATTGAAACTCTGTCAAGTCGAATCGATTAACTTGAACGAAGAACAATATCATGTTGATTCTTAAAATACACGTGTGAGTATAGGTAAGAAAAAAATCTTACAGCGATCAGTGTCACAGTTAATCAAAATTATCTTATCGCTAGTTCGTATGGTGGTGGTGGTGCTTCATCTGTGGACGATGGCATTGCTGTTTGTTGTTCGTGTATTTTCCATTCGATTTCTGCTTGTCTTATTAATTGATTTACATGTAATTCCATTAATAAGAATAAATCAAATTCTGGATATTCATACGGACTAACATAGACATATAATTGTTTAATGTAGATTTCTAAGTCTTGTCGTCGTTCTTCCTGATTATGTTTACTACGATGTAGTAAGGAATGATGATGTGAAGGAAAGGATGGTGTAGCACATCGTTTTTCTAATTGATGATGAAGTTGTTTAAATTCATCAAATGTATGTGATACTGACCATTGACCATCGTGTCTTGGAACGATTTCTCGAATGTTTAAACGAATAGTAAAACGATCGTGACCATGTTCATGATGAAATGATGGAATATCAATTTCATCTTGCAGACGAGGACGAGATTTGAGTTGAGATTTGAAATTCGGAACCGAATCTTGTTGAACAGGATTTGAAGATTGTATTTGGTAAGGAGTATTTGTTGTAATCATTGTAGAAGATGGATACTGTTGTTGAGAATATAGTCCAACATTTTGTAATAACTGTGGTGGAATATTTCTGAGTCTTCCTTGAAAGAATTGAACGAACTCGTCGTCATTAAAATTGGGATTTTGATTATATGAATCCCCAAATTCTTGATGTATTGGAGTAAACGGATCTAAACATCTAAAAACTCCTCCTGCCATTCTCGCAATCTCAGCCATAAACTCTCTTGGTCTCGGATCATTGTTTGTATGTCCCATTAGAAACGCAATTGTATGTATCACACATGGATTTTGTCGTTGTTGTAACCAATTTTGTAAATCAAGTAAAATTGTTCTCGTATCCATTGTTGGTTCACCATCTGAAAGTAAATAAATTGTATCTGCTTCTTCATCACTGAGTGCTTGTTTCAATGCATCGTGTGTGTTTGTTGTTCCTGCAGGTTCTAAATGATCCAGATAATGTTCTGCTTGCTTCAGATGATGATGAGTAGCCGGTGTTAATGTATGTTTCCAAGGATGAACATGCGTACCAAAATGAATAATATTGAATTTCATTTGTTGTTGTATACGATGATGAAGAATCTTATGAAGATCATGTACAATAAATTCTAGACGATTAGAATATTCGCCACAATCTGTTTGAAATTCAGTACTCATTGAACCACTTGTGTCGATGAGAAAGATGACTCGAGAACTAGTTACCGATCCATAGATATGTGACTGACCACGAACTTCAGCTAGAATTTGATCAGCTTGTCGTAGCAGATAGGGTGGAAATAGATTTCTTAATTGAAAACGATTGACTGGATCTAGAAGATTTTCATCAATCACTTGCAAAGCATCAAGACGTTGTTCTGGTACTGTAATCATGTTGAGCAAATGTATTGCCAGATCACATCGTAAACCAAATAGATGATTATCGAATAGATGAAGAGCAAGTACGAGTTCTGTACCAGGAAAGTATGGTGCTAATGTTAAGACTTGATCGCCGCTGAATGCTTGTGGAGAAATTTTCATTTCATACGCAAGTTGTTGAAGACGATCAGCTGGCTGTTGAAGTTCAGCTAATCTCGATTGAAGTCGATGCATTTGGCGTTGTGAACGAACACCATGTATCGGAAGTTCATGATGTTTTTCCCAAGCTTTTGAGTGAATAAGATGAAGACCGTGACGGCCCATTTTTGATTGTTTAACTACTATAATAAAAGAAGAAGATATTTGGGTACGTATAGGATGTGGATGTAAGTGTATAACTCGTCAAGAGCGTTCAACTGATAAAAGAAAGTATTTATTTTTCTTCCTTCCCTGCGCACTAATAGTCATATATAAATATGTGAAAATGACTACCGATGTTGCTTTAATGGAATAAAAAAAATTTCTTTTCTCTTTACCAGCGTCATCAATGAGACGAGAGAAAGAAAATAAAATAATAAGCAACGTTACTTCTATTCATAAATTTTGACAACGCACTTTTTATTTCTTTTGAAGGAAAGAAAAAAAATATTTCATCGTTTTTTTTTACTTTCATAACAGACTTTCGATTACTCTAATAGAAAGTCTACCAGTGCAGTTTTTTTGGAGTTAAAAATGCGAGCGTAGACGTGAGTGTATTCGATAAGATCAATTATATATCCACACTCATTTTAAGGCGGATGTTGATCAGAAAGAAATGAGGAAAAAATCTTTTTCGAGATGTTTATTAACAATAAATTAGAACGAAGAGCATAAAAATGTGTCAGAAACTGCAGAGTTTGACTGTTATATGTAACGTTTTGAATTTTCGAAATTTAGACAAACACACATTAATCAGTTTCATCACTAGAGACTTCATTAGATTGCACCTATTGATTTGTAACTGGCTCGGAGGATGATACAATCTCTTCCGACTTGTCAGCTCGCATAATTGCATCTATAATTTGATCTTTGAGTCGAACGAAAAAGTTTGACAACTGTGCAGGACATGATGGAGTAGAACCACTGTCAGTCATCCAAGAGAAGTTACGTCGGCCAGATGACGGATGTAGCATAGTCATTTGAGCGTTGTTACTTTGGACAAGTAAAGTAAAACGTAGTATGTTTTGTAAAAAAGTCCTAACTTTAGAAACTTACGCATGTAACATATTTGCACGGATTTCCAATTCGTTGAGATTTTTGCTGTTTTTGTCTCGTAAAATATCTAAGATAATATTCGGCGGCTTGTCAGACGATGATGAGGATGCCATTCGAGAAAGATGAATAAAATATGTAAAAATTCTTCGCGTTGTCACAACTCGTTTTCTGTGTTGTTGACTAAAGAACGATTGAAGAAAACAAAAAAAAAAGTTTCATGCTGCTGAAACATCGCAAAATAGCCGACGATGTTTCTTTCTTTCTAAAATAGTTTAGTCTTACCTGTATTGTATTAAATGAATCATAGGAACGATATACTTTATTATCAACATACAAAAAATATTTTTTGACGAGTATAACCTTTTAATCTTTACTTTTCTTCTGCTTTACTCGGAATGAAGAGCGTGTGTTTAACTCTTATGTACTCCTCTATCGAAATTCCGTATAATGTATGTGTGGTTTATGTAATCATTCTGTTTTCATAATAAAGATCGTTTTGGAAATAATTATTTTCCATCACTGATTAAACAATGTCAAATATGAAAATCAATAAGTAGAATAAAAATTCTTTAATGGAATGTTATTCGACAGAATATCAAATACTCTTTTCAATATATAGCCTCTAAATATTTTTGCATAAGTCAAGTATAACTAGATGAAAATAAAAAGAATTTTTACCGAAAATGTGAGTGTATATTTACTCGGAATCCACAGCCACATCCTCAACGCATTGAATTATCTTTTAAAAAGACTCTCAAATGAATATATACAAGTTTTATTCCATTCATCTTAGTTAAATACAAATGAAGATCTATAAATTATGAATTGATTAATATAAAGTTGTGCATCGCCCGACATTTGCTTTCCAATATTGAAAAAGACGAATTGTATACAAACGAATCACTAAAAATTTATTGTTAGTCAAAGAACAATGAAAGCAGAAAATATAATAAAAATACAGCCTACTTTATTCTCAACAATATATTTCATATTTATTAGAAGTAAAATTTGATTGTCAATGTTCTGAAAATGCCACGACGAAGTTCTTCGCTAAAAACAAATGTTATTCACGTAAAAAAAAACTAGCGACTGCTTTGTTTTTGTTCTATTAAACTTATATTTAGGTCTCTCATATTGGCCGTCCTTCGAATATTGTACAATCAAATGTGAAAAAAAACTCACGAGATCGTTCTCTATCACATGTATATTAACATAAACATTTGTTTAGAGAAGTAATCTCTCTTTTCTTTCGTTTTAAAGCGACGAAGTATGCCAAACCATCATATTACAAATAAAATTGATAAAAAGCAACGTATTCATCAAATCATTCTCATCAGTGTCGATCAGGACAAAATACTCAATCGAAGTTTTAAATCATCGCAGAGAAAAGTATGTGCTCTATGATTATTACTGTTGCTGATGATAATATTAAAATTAATTTTTTTCGCTTAGATATCAAATACTTCAGAAATTGAGACAAATATCAAACAGAATGTCGAATTTAATACTGCAATCGAACCAGTATCACATGAAGTAGAGAATAATATTTGTCAACCACTACAACCATTGGTGATAAATTCATCTAGATGGAAGATGGTGTTTTATTCTATTTTCTAATTATTTAGGATTCAGTCGTGATTGATACCAATACCCAATTTAGTCAAACACATGATCAAATCAGAGAGAATATACCTCAAGCTATCAAACATAAAAAATCTGATTTTCATTTCGACAAAAACAATCGTTCCATTTCGTTTACCACCAATTTGTCTACAGCAAGTGTCACTCAAGTATAATATTTGTTACTTTGCCAACGATATGTGAAATGAGTTTTATTTTAGCGAACAATATCAAGTGACATTACCGATCACTCTAATGTAATTAATTTGTATAACAGTTTTATATCATAAATTATATTTTATAGAGAGATACTTCGATAAAACGACACAATAAAATTCACCATCGTAAAAAAGTAACGGAAAAGCAAGAAAAAAGACGACGAAGGTAATATAAAAATAACTATTAATTGTCGAACTGGTTAATAGTTGTATTTTATTTTTTTGAGGTTTAGATGTTGTGGTTTTTATTGGCCCTGTTCACCTTGTTGTACTTTATGCTGGATCATTGGTGCTATTATATTGTTAGCAGCAGTAGCCGCATTAATTGTTGCTCTTCTTACAAATAAATCAAAAACAACAACTATATTAAGTACAGGTGCGTTCAAATAATAACTTGATGATATCTTTGAATCGAATACTCATACCCACTCTTCTCATTATAGCTTTCATAACTACGATAACAACATCGACTAGCACGGACACGACAACAACAGAAAGTAGTACAATGACAACAACATATACTTGTGAGTTTATTTGCTAGATAAGAAAAAATAATTAATATAAGTAACTTGTTTAGCAACAACAACAACAACAACACGTAGCATGTGTAACGCTTCTTGTTTAAATCAATCATGGATTGATTTTTCCAATACAATGGCAAAATGGCAATTCGAAGGTTCATTTACAAATTTACCGAACAATTATAGTATAATTCCATCATCAAGCGTACCTACTTTCATTACCGAAGGATATGTCGGTCAAGCAATCTCATTTGATGCAACACTTCATCAATATCTTTATACTTCATATATACCTTTGAGGAATATAAGTTTCACTGTTGATGCATGGATTTATCAAAATGGAATGCCTAATCCAACTGATTATAACATTGTTGGGATGTGTCCCTCAATGTCAACAAGAAATTGTCTTCAGATTGGTATACGATCTCAAAAATTGTATTTTTCATTTTGGCTACCGGATTCTACTGGTGTAACAACTATTCAAACTGATCAATGGTTACATACCGCATTTGTTTTTGATCAAACAACAAATACAATGACTACTTATTTAAATGGTTTTCCTGATCAAAGCTTAAATACTAATCAGTCATTACTATGTTCAACAGGAAATTTTACAATTGGTATTAATGCACTTATAAGACCTCCAAATAATACTTTTCAGGTAGAGAAAGAAATAATTACTATTGAATATTTGATTGATACTCTCATTACATATATAGGGTTATATAGATAATTTATCAGTTACTGGACGAGCAAAATCTTCATGTGAAGTACTTGAAATTGCCACACTTGCAGCTCGTTTTCATTTTGATAATATTTCATCATTAGACGATTTTGGTCCTAATCAAGTAGATAAAAGTGCTTTAAATTATGTAATCATTTCTGGTTTTATCAACGAAGCTATTTCATTTTCTGGAACATCAACTTCATATTTTCAAACATGGGGTTTCACTTCATTTGGTATTATGAATAAAGCATTTTCATTTGCATTTTGGATTAAACCTCAGTTACTTTCTGGTACTCTCATTCATCTATCAACATCATCACTTGGCACAGGAACAACATGTTTTCCATTGTTAGCATTTGCTTCTAATGGATCTATTGTTGCACAAGTTTTGCTTACTAATGGAATTATTGTTTCAGCTATAGGTCCTTTATTACCAACATCATCATCATCGTGGATATCCATTGTTCAAACATGGAGTTCCAACAATGGATTAAAATTATATATTAATAACACACTTGTAAGTTCTGCCGTAGCTACGACATTTCTTACCAGTAATTCAACAATGAATTATTTAACATTGGGTAATTGTTTAAATGGTTGCAGTTCATGTACCAATGGACTCATTGTTTCACCAGGCTCATTTTCAGGTGCTATCGATGAATGGTTAGTTTTTAGTCGAGAACTTAATGAAGATGATGTTTGCGCTCATTTCAATGCTCGATAATTTGATGAACACGTTTTCAACTATTAACTTTAAGACTTTTTTTGTTCTATAAGATTTTTTCTTTTCTCTGCTTTACTTTGTGTAAATATTTTCAAATCATATTTTATACTATTGATTAAAATCGATTTAGTCTATGTAGAAACTCATATTTTTCTTCAACTAATTTGACACACAAATGTAACCATAGAAACTTACTCACGTAACACGTGTGCACGAAATTCCATATCGTTGAGTTCTTCACTGTTTTCCTCCCGTAAAATATCTTCGCGTTGTCACAACTCGTTTTCTGTGTTGTTGACTAAAGATCGATTGAAGAAAACAAAAAAAAATTTCATGCTGCTGAAGTATTGCAAAATAACTGACGATTTTTTTCTTTCTAAAATAGTTTAGTCTTACCTGTATTGTATTTAATCTTGAGGGTGGATATGGTTGTAGAACAAATAGAATATCCACACCCACACTCTCAATAATGTTGTCGTTCTGTTTCATCTTGTTCAATATTTTGAAAAAGATCAGTAAAGAAGAATATAGAAATGTGATGCTTTGTGTCTTTCATCTTTATAACAAATAATATGTGACCATAAAGTTCATGGCAATGTTCTGAATTAGTATAGGTTCAGTATTTTCATATACATCTATTTTGAAATACGTTCGTAATTCATATGCTTCGTTAAGTAGATTAACATTTTACTGTATTTGATCTAGATGTATAAAATAAAAAAGACTATGATGGTCACGAACTCAATATTTTGAACGTCTATTTTAATTATGCTTATGCAAGTTTCTTATACATGCCGTGTTTCGCTTATGTAACCTTGAACTTAATTATTATGATGTGCTTGATTTGATGAAAGAATGGAAAAAAGAAAGCCGATTATCTTCATTAGCATCTATTAAGACATGAAATAATTATAATTCAAGTAAAGAATAACTTTGATAATAATAAATCTTTTCATTTCAAGATTTATAATGAATCCATATCTATCGTGTAGAAATCTCATTAATGAAGATCTTTGTGAGTACGGAATATCGTGCTTTTTAAACCATTAAGAATAATATGTTCTTATTTTATGATAGCGTTAGTCAAAAGTGCTAATGAGAGAGAAGTAGCTTTTATTTTTCTATTTTATCTTTCTATTAATAGAAGAGAAACACGATTTGCTCATCTCTATCTTTTTTTTCACATTCCGCAGATATTCCTTGAAGTTTGATTGCAGAAATCAGAGTGCTTATAACATTTATTTTTCATTAGCAGTGCAAATATGTCTTCATCGCCATATCCATCGCTTGTGTCTACTCAACAAATATTTACACGTTATGGTTATCCATTGATAGTTGTCATTGGATGTTTGGGGAATCTTCTAAATATTTTTCTCTTACGAAAAAAAAACACTTCGTACAGTTTCATGCAATAATTGTATGTAGAAAATATTTTATACATCATAGAAATATTCATTTTCAATGATTTAGATTTTTTGGCTGCATCATTCATCAATCTGATAATACTCAACGTAGGTATTATACCATCAATTTATGTAGCTGATCGACCATGGGCAATTACGGAAGCGTATTGTAAGATTCGAAGTTACTTATTCAATGCATCTCAACAAATGTCACGCTTTATGGTTGTCACAGCTTGTTTCGATCGATTTGCACTTTGTTCAACAAGTGCTCGTCTTCGTCAATTCTCTCGTGTAGAAATTGCTCGTCGATATATGATTCCTGCTATTATCATTATCTGGCTTATTGCACCTATTTATATGTTAATTTTTGATACTGTAGTCAATAATAGTTGTACGTATATAGGTGCTGTCGCACTTTTTAATAGTATTTATGGTATTACATTAGTTGGTTTTACTCCACCTTGTTTAATGTTTATTTTCTCTCTATTAACATTTCGTAATCTAAAAACAAAACAACAACGACAACAAGTCTTTTTATCAACTCTAGTTAACACTCAAGTTACAACAGTTGAAAGTCGAAAACAAAGAAGAAAAAATCAACAAGTTTTGGGTATGTTAATGATAGAAGTTGTTGTTTATATTTGTACAACTACTATTGCCAGTAGCAATCTACTCTATTCAACCCTCACTACATATATTGGCATAAGTAAATCCGATGAACGAATATCGATTGAATCGTTTATTTCATTTAGTACGAATTTATTGAATTATACTTGTCCATGTTTATCATTTTATTTATTTTGCTTTGTTTCACATCTCTATCGAAAACAAATGGTATTATCTCTAGTAAACATTCGCAGACAATTTTCTGCTCTATACACAAGAAATAATAACAATACCAATAGTGATGAACATATTTCCATACGTCAAATGACTGCAAAAGTTAAACCTATTAAACAACCGACGATGGCACCAGTTCCTATTATTCAGTAGTATCAAATATGCTTCAATATTCAACTATAACTCTATCTTCCTATTTATATATCCGTAATTGTAGAAATCAATTTAGTTTTTTCTCTCTATGTTTTTGAGTGTTGTCTAAGTCTTTATTTACATCTTGAGGGTGCGGGTGTCAGTTTAAGTATATTGCGATACCCACATCCATTCTAAAGTATTTCTACAACGATATGAAAATAATCATTGTCGAATTATATTTCAATTAATATCTATGTTTTGAGAATATCAAGAATCGATTCATTTCTATCGTATTTATTATATGAGAAAAATCAAAATTAGTATATACATTATTATTCAAAAAAGAAAATAGTATTCATCTTGATTATTTTTTATAGTTATACACATATTTACAATTAGACACTTGAATCGATTATATCTCCATTCCAATATTCATGTGCATTTTTGTATTCATCAGATTTAATATGAAATATAGGATGATAATCAATATTGTTATCGGATTGTTTCACAATCGAACTATCAGATGTATTGAAAGTTATCTGTAAAGCATACAGATCGATTACACTATCCCATGCATTTGTCCAACGTTTTCTATCGATAAGACTTTCAAACCAACTAGCCATAAGTAATTATGAATGTATATATATTTATTTCGACGTAATTTTATACAAATGATTTCGATATCATCAATTATACTCAATCATTCCTTTTATTTTTGTCATATATTTTATCTCAAGTGTCTTTTTCTATTATTATACTTAGGTAAACAAAAAAAAAACGAGAGAGAATATAGTCGATGATCATAATAATAAGAAAAGTAAAGACTCCGCGTGGCGAGAAAAAAGAAATATAAGAAAAAAATTACATGTTTAATACTACAAGTACATATCTTTTTTGAAACTGCGTCGATTCTTTTCTGTTATCATTCATAATATAAGCACGAGTTAAAAAAGTACACAAATTTCAACTGAGCAAAATTTAAAGTATTTAATATATGTTAATTCCATTCTTTTTGTTTATTATTATGCGCAAAAAAATAAAATGTATTTTGCGTTCATTTCGCCATGTCTCCCAAAGCTATGAAGAAACGATGTGTGTATTAGTTTTTTTATGGTAAAATATATTCTTCTCTAGAATTTTCAAGTATCTAGTTGTTATTGAGAAATATTTTCTTCCTTTTTCTCTTTTGTGCCATTGGACTTAGACAAAAGTTTTAAGTCGATGAAAATGAGTTCATTGCTGAGGGTATAGGTGAGGTTGATGACGTATATTCTTTTAATCATATCTATATCTAAATCCACACTCACCCACACCCCTCTTTGTCATAAAATAAAAGAATTTTTTATTCCAGAGTAGAAATTTATTATGGCAGTCGTTATCTTTACAATGGATAACGTATGTATGCTTTTTTTGTGTCTTTCATAATCGCTGTTGTATTTGATAGATGATGTGTACCTATTTGGGGATAGAATTGATATTGTCCACCAATATTATAAAAAATAGGGCTGTATTATGGGTTCCCCGTATACAAGATGAAGTATAACCTTGAAAAAGTTCGTCTGAATTAATCAATTTTTCGACAAATGATGTAAATTGTTGTTTTTCAATTTCAATCTGATGAATATTACTAATTGTACTAGTTTTAATACTAGCTGATATATTTAAATTATTAGTGGATATACAATTTATATTCGATGCGGAAAGAGTACACATATGGCTATTTATGCTACATAAGCTGTTAATAGGGTGTGGGTGTAGATGTTTACTAAAGGAAAAGACATCCAGACTCATACCCACATACTTAAGCATGCTCAGTAGATTATTTAATAATTCAAATCGACTTCGAAATTCACATGCTTGATTACCTCTGATAAACTTTAAAAAAAAATAATCTGTTTTGTTTTTACATTATTCTTCAAACAATTAATGAGGCGCGAACACACAAGCAAGCAGGCAATTTATTCTTGCAAATCTCTTCTCTACGAGAAAGAAAATTAGTTTAGAATACGATTACAAAGAATTCGTTTTATCAACGAACGTAAAGCTGATCGATAAACAGTTGAAGGTAAAATAAACAGAAATAAAATTGTCATCGAAGGAATAAAAGCAATTAAATAAGCAAATAAACTTAAAAATGGACGATAATCAAGTTTTTTACATACAAATGTAAAAAGGAATAAAATTCGAGGAATTGTCGCACTTTACCTTATTGTCGCACTTTACCTTATTGTCGCACTTTACCTTATACTGGTAGTGATCATCTACCAGTCTTTACTAATTTCCTGGGCCTGAATATCTCAGCCGAGACGTACCTCGTACCTCGCACCTACTGGAAGATATTCTCATCGATTCTTATCGTGTTACATGACCAGTTGCTAAACGAACAAGAAATTCTCATCAAGAACTCCAGCGACACTTTCAGATGGTTCATGTTATTTGAAAATTTTCTAGCAGCACTTAAACTTCGAGTAACAGTATGGCAAGAAGTAAAACGTAAACGACCATCTATTTCACCATCATTACGTATACTTCTTCGGCACAAACATTACTTGCAAAATCGATATCGTCACACTAAACATGAAGAAGATCGTTTAAGGCTTAGATCATGGAATTATTTAGTGAAACATGAATTTAAATCACATCGACAACGTACTTGGAAACAATTTATCTCCACTGTGGCTTCTCCGAATCCTACATCATTCTGGCGAACAGTGAAGAAATTAAACAAAAAGAAATCTGTCGACTTTGCTGCATTAACTGAAGAAAAGATGGTACACAAAAATCCAGTAAACATAGTGAAATGCTTAACCCAACATTTCACCGAACGACATTCACCACCAAAATTAGATATGATGAACTCGCTTGATAAAGAAGCCCATGAATTATGGAAATTATACAGTACAGCTGATACAGATGATATCGAATTAGTATCTCATCACTCGGATCTCCAATTTAATATACAAGATTTAAAAAAGACAATTGGCTCATTGAAAAATAAAAACTCATCAGGATTTGATCACGTTTCAAATAAAATGATCAAATTACTCCCAACACATTACCATACTTTATTAATAAATGCTTATAATAAATTATTTAGTGCTGCTCATTGGGGAAAAGAATGGAAAGTTGCTAGGACTATTTGTCTTAATAAATGTGATGAACCAGCACCTCGTACAAATCAGTTAAGACCATTATCAATGTTGCCGGCTTTCAGTAAGATCTATGAAAAGCTTTTTCTCATTAGATTTAATAGTTGGTCACAACGAATGAATATTTTACCATCACAACAGTCCGGTGCAAGACCTAATCAAGCAACAGCAACCCGTGTCAATTGCTTATTAGAGCAAATCACTCAATCATTGCTCAACAACTCATTTACTCCTGTCGTTTACATAGATTATTTACAGGCGTTTGATAAACTCTGGACGCAGGGATTATTATTGAAGTTAAATAGACTCAATTGTCCATCACCTTATCTTATTTGGATTACAAAGTACTTCAGTGATCGAACACTCAAAATTGACTATGGTGGTGTTGTGTCAACTGAAATTAAAGTTGAACGTGGAGCACCTCAAGGAAGTTGTCTTGGTCCTATTATGTATATCATTGCTCATTATGATCTTCCTCAAGTTTTTGAAATTCCTGATCATGTACATGCTTATGTTGATGATATAGCAATCGTCTATAATCCATCTTTTCATCTGAAAGTGAAGTTCCAAACTGGTGAAATAATTAAACGCATCAACAAGGATATGATAAACTTATTAAAATACTCGAATGATTGGCATCAACCACTTAACCCAAGCAAAACTGAATTTGTTGTTTATCATACATCAGTTCAATGGCCCAAGCTCGACATTTACTATGATGGAGTGAAAATTATTCAAAAGAAAAGTTTTAAATATCTTGGATTTCATCTAGATGCAAAACTCTCCTTTCGGAATATGATTGATGCTCAATTTTTAAAACTAAGAAAAGCATATATAATATTAAAGTTTATTCATCAGCAGTTTCCTTCATTTTCGAAATTGAAAATGAAATTTTTTAATACTTATATATGGCCTCACATGTACATGATGGCAACGATTTACTGTCTTTTTTCTAATACGTCTTGTGAACGTGTAGCAGCTTTTTATAGGCGATGCTTAAGGTTAATTCACTGTCTGTTTCAATGTCCTACAGTAGATTTACATCAACATTTTCAATTGCCTACAATTGAAAAGAGATTTAAAAAATCGTTAGTAAAACGAATGAAAAATATTCAGCTACACGAGCCAATGTTTATTGAATGTGCATTACAATACAAATTCTTATTTAACACGATCTATTATCATTATCGAATTAAAGCAAATATTAAGTACATGCCTGCAGGTCGACCAACAAATAGACTAACATCCTATCTTGATAATGAGGGACATACTTATTTTGATCGCCTATGCGATTTTGTCTTTAGTTAAGTCATCACGTACCTCGATGAAGAAGTTCTATCTTCCTTTTTCTTCTTTTTTTCTTTTTCTTTTTATTATACAACAGATGAGTATTTCTAGTGTTGAAAATTTTCTTCTATACTTTCTTCTTTCTCCTATTGCCGATGTTTTTCTTAAAGCTCAGTTTGTGATAAGACGGTCAGCGCCTAATGGCGAATTCGTCATATGAAATAAATAAAGCGTTTAAAAAAAAAAAAAAAAAAAAAAAAAAAATAAAATTCGAGGAAATGAAAGAATAGCAAGTAAAAGAGGACCTAAAAGAATATGTTTGTGTTTCATAATTTGTTTTTTAATAAAAATCAATCGTGTTCTCCATAGATTTCGTTGATTAATATTTCTATTACCATTCAATTGCGTTCTGTGTTTTAATTTAAAAGTTTCTCGAATAATAATAATACTACTTACTAAATTAATAATTATTGGTACGAAGAATAGAAATAAATTTGATGCAATATAACATTTAAAAATCTTTGGTCGACTATCATTATTAAGAGTAAAAACACACCAATTTCGTTTATCTTGTTCATCAATTATCATTTGTCGAAAGAATATTTCTGGTAATGATATTAAACCAAGTAAAATAATTATACTTGGAATTAAACATTTCGATATATATTTACTTTTTGAACGAGAAAAATGAGTTTTATATAATAATGCTGAGCATCGTTCAATGGCAACACATGAATTTAACCATTCACAACTTGTTAAAAACCATTTAAATGAAAATTCAATCAATGAACAACTTGCATTATTCTGTTTATCATATAATAATAAAATTATTTTACACATTAATAAAATAATTGTTAAAAGACCAAGAAATGCTGATGTTAATAAATAAAATGCCGAACCAACTTCTTGTGTAGTTCGATTATTAAATGTTCCAATTGATAATATATTTAAAATCATTCCAATAATAAATAAAATAATAATAATTAAAAAAGTTATTTGAATAGTAGTTGTTTGATAATATAGATTTCTAATCATTGGTTTTATATGAGATCCAATAATAGCATCAAGAGAAAGTATATAACCTTCAGTTGAGAATTGACAAACTGATCCATAACTACATGAATTACAAAGACAAAATGAATTTTTTGGACACAATTCGTGATCTTTTATACAAATTCCTCTTTCACTACATTTATTCCATGGACATCCACTATATGTTAAATTAATATTAAAACAATAAGCGTGATTTGTTTTATCACATAAACACATTAATTGTTCATCATAAAAACATTGAAATTTTTCAATTAATTTGTTTTTCAAACATATTTGTTGATAATATTTAACACGACGTAAATAGGGTTGAGAAAGAATTGTTTTATCCAATAATTCATTTATTGATCGACATCTATTCTTTTGATCAACAATAACATTCATTTCGCTCAATGGTTCATTAACTTGTGTAATAAAATTTAATAAATAATAATCAACATGTTTAAAATCTTTAAGTAGTTGAATAAAAGAAATTAATCCAGAATGAGAGCCATCGAATGTTAATTCAAGGAAAAATGTTAAGTTTAATATTTCTTCATGGAAACGATAGAACGATGTTAAATATGTTTCTTCACGAAATGTTGATGGAATAATTGAATGAATAAATGCAATACTTGATGACGAAATCATTTTCGAATCAGTAAATGAAATATCAAAGCGAAATTTTTTATTTTCACATCGTTTTCCAAACCATTCTAAATCACAAATACATCGAAATTGAGAATCTGGTTGAGCACGTTCATCATTCGGATAGCATTGTCCATGATGATTACAACTCCAATTCGTACATGGATTAAATGGAATAAAACAACGAGAACCAATACGATTTAATGGACATATACAAATATCTCTATTAAGATTTGTATCATAACCCATATAAAATGAATCTTTTGAACATGAACTTGAATTTTTTTTATTAATTATTCTTTCTATTGAATTATCAAAAGTATCAATATTAGAAAGAAATAATCGTTTAACTATACGTTGTACAGGTAAAAAATGAAATGGTATTTTAAATATCCATGTTGAATGATGTTCAACAATTGAACTAGTAAACATAAGAACTTCAATTGAATCATTCGAATCTAAAGATAATGAATCATTTATTGGATAAACTAAATATGTCGTATATTTTGATGAACAATATCCAAGTGGTGAATAAAGAAATTGTTCATGTGATAATATTATTCGTTGTTCATTTTCACGTATTAATAAAACAAGAAATTTCACTGTAGGAAAATTTCCATTAAATGAACCTGTTAATTCAGCACGAAATATAAAAGTTATTCGTTTACGTTGATATTGACATCGATCACCATAATAATAAATTGGACATAAACAAATAAATCCAAATGTATTTTCTAATGAACGAACATATAAACCACGATTGCAATACCAAATAATCATAGGATCTATATATGATCTTTGTTGTTTAATTTGTTTCTGTAATGAATAATCATTCATATCTAAAGAATTTACTCGAATAGCAGAAGGATATTCAATTAAATCACAAAAAAGTTCATCTTCTCCATCTGCACAATGAAAAAACATTCCATCACATCGAGAACTTTGTTTTGTTTCATTATGTACTATTCCATTTCTACATCGAAACTGATGTTTGTGACATAATGATGTTTGTTCATTATTCATCCATCGACATGCTATTGTTTCATCATCGTTTAAAGGACAATCTTGATGACAATCACATATTTGAAATGGTGAAATACATACATCCGAATCTAAACATCGATATCGAAGAACATAATCATATGGATATTTTGAACGACAAAAAGATCGTTCATCTATTGAACCAATACAATTAATAATACCATCATTAGCTTTACTTAAAGGTAAACATATTGGTAAACCATTTTGAATATCCAAACAAAAATGTGTTGTTTTATTACAATGACGTGAACCTAAATTTGGTTTTCCACAACCTAATTCATCTTCTCCATTTGGACAATTCCAAATATGATTACATTTTGTATGAAAGTTAAGACAATTCCATTCATCACTACGACAATCTGTTTCATCGGTATTTCCTTCTAAATCAGAAGAAATTTCAGTAAAACCATTACAAAGTTGTTCAAAAGTAAAATTAAATCGACGAGATTCATTTCGAAAACTACGACATTCATCGCTATAATTCAAAATACATAACCAACGCATAAAAGATGTTTCATCCATTCCATCATTACAATCTTTCTACAATAATTAATTAAATTTATACAAAGAAAATTTTCATAGAAATATACAAACAAAATTATTTGCTATAGCAGTTGGATGTATACATCGTGTTCCTTGATCACATTTAAATCGAAAAGAATAATTTAATAAACAAGTATTATTCTGATATTCATCTTCACCGTTAGAACAATCTTTATAACCATCAGATAATCGATGTTGAGAAAAACATTTACTTCCATCATTACATTTAAATAAGGTACATTGATGTTCTGAAGGTAATAATGAACATGATTGAACAAATCGTTTTACATCTGATATCTTATTATCTAATAATTGACATGTTAAACCATTTAATGATGTTGTCATTATTCCGAAATGGATTGTATTAAATAAATACGGACATAACGATTGATTATAACAGATTCTTTCTGGTTTCATATCTTTGTAAATAATATGCATATGAGAAAATAATATTAATGTTGATGATGATGATGACATTTTTTGAAAATAAAGATAATCTCTTTTAGATCTACAAAGTGTTGTATCTAAGTTTATCGGCCCATCATAGCAAGATCCATCACCGCAAGAAAACCACATATTAGGACATAAATGATCTTCACAACCAGTATAAGATGTATAAAAGCAACTGTCTATATTGTTTAATCGTTCATCGCTATAATCCATACAATCAGTATATTGATCTCTATAAAATGTTTTATCAATGCATTGACCATTTAAACAACGAAATTCATTTATTTCGTCACATTCATTCATTTCAAGTAAATGACAATGATATTCATCAAATCCATTTGTACAATCAATTTTTCCTAAAAATAAAAATGAAGAAATAGAATTATCTTTTTCAAAGTTAGATCAAATTTTAGTTTTCATCGTAGAATGGATCCACTGAAATCTCCTTATTTAAAATATAAATATGACTTTCCATACATAAAAACAAAACTTGGTTATATTAGTTAATTCTTCAGTTCTTAAGAATTATCTTCTATTAACTACTAAGCTATTAATTTATATAATTAAACAACACAGAAGTCACATTTGAATTCTTTGACTCCGACTAATCTTCGGTTAACCCTTATAAAAAATTCCTTTTATATCTCTACCTAATTTTTGAAGTAAACAAACAATTTATTCTTACAAGACTCTTCTCTATGAGAAAGAGAATAATGCTTTTATATTATCCATGAAACATCCTATATAATATCGCAACAGAATGGTATACGTCATTCCATGTTCTCTTTCACATATATACAAGATATTTGTATCCTTTCGAGAACACAAAATATAAAAGGTACTTTTCACTGATTTTACATATGATCGACATGTGTTTTTCTTGTTATATAGATCTAAACAAGAACAAGTTTTTGTCCGAACAGATGCTTCATGATTAATTCTGGTATTAAGAGAATTAGAAGTCCTCTTCAAATAGAAGCTTCGCAGTGAAATTATTTTGTCGAAGTCGATAGATATGAATGTAGTAAAAATGGGAGAATCTTTGAAATTAATTTACCATCACAAATTTCTCTCCAATCTAAACATAAAATTGATTGACATTGATCATTAGGTACTAAATAACATGTTCCATTGGTAATTGTTAATAAATGATCTTCCATATAATGTTTAGCGTCAAATCGATCCCATAAAATATCTTTCAATTCAGCATAAGAATCTAATGTATATTGACAACGATTTCCAAACCAATAATTATTCTTGTTTGAACAATTAACAATTATTCCATTTGATTGCTCTAATAAATATTCTTC